GATCTTAGTGCCGCGTTCGACACTGTCGACCATGAGATCCTCATGCAGAGACTGGAGGACTGGGTTGGTGTCACTGGCACAGCCCTAGACTGGTTTAGGTCTTACCTGGAGGATAGGAAGTACTTTGTGGAGATTGGAGACTGCGTCTCAGATCATGTGGCCCTGACCTGTGGAGTGCCACAGGGGTCGATCCTGGGACCTCCATCCATCCATTTTCTACCCTTTAATCCATTACTGGGTCAGGGGGGTGGCAATCAGAGATGCCACCCAAGTCTCATAGCACCAGCCCCTCACTGACCCTCTGCAGGTGGTGAGTCCACAGGAGGTATCCTGGGACCTCTCCTATTTAATATCTACATGCTGCCGTTAGGTCAGTTAATACAAAGAAACAAAGTGTCCTACCACAATTACGCTGACGACACTCAGATCTATGTCTCACTGACTGCAGGAGAACATGGACCACTGGATTTGCTCCTTCACTGTATCCAGCAGATCAGTGACTGGATGCAAAATAATTTCCTCCAGCTAAATGCAGACAAAACCAAGATCATTGTCTTTGGTCCCCAGAAATAAAGAGAGGGCGCCATTTGTCAACTTCAGTCTCTCTCCCTACTGCCTTCAGACAAGGTGAGAAATTTGGGGGTAATACTAGACTCAGACCTAAATTTCAATAGCCACATAAAATCAATAACATCAACAGCTTTTTACCATCTGAAGAACATTGCCAAAGTTAGAAATATAGTGTCCAGGGCAGACTTGGAGATTCTTGTCCATGCATTTGTCTCCAGCAGGCTAGACTACTGCAATGGCCTGCTCACAGGTCTGTCCAAACAGACCTGTAAGCAGCTGCAGTACATCCAAAATGCAGCAGCTAGAGTCCTGACAAGAACCAGGAAGTACGACCATATTAGTCCGGTCCTCAGGTCTCTGCACTGGCTTCCTGTGGCTCAGAGAATAGATTTTAAAACAGCTCTGCTTGTGTACAAGTCTCTCCATGGCCTTGCACCAAAATACATTAGTGACATGTTGGTGTCATATGAACCGGCTCGGACTCTGAGGAGCACAGGGACTGGCCTCCTGCTGGTGCCCAGAGTGAGAACCAAACATGGGGAGGCTGCGTTTCAGATCCATGCAGCTAAGATCTGGAACAATCTCCCTGAAAATGTGAGAGAGGCGTCTACTCTGTCAACGTTCAAATCCAGGTTAAAGACTGGATTTTATCTCCATTTCTAATGCACTGCTGTCATTTATTTATTAATTTTTTTAAATGTCTTCTGTAATTTTGAAAGTTTTAATGGTTTTAATATTTTGTGTGATTTTAATGTTTTAATTGTGATTCTGGTGTTTGTTTTATGTGATGATTTGTCATGTGGACTGTGAAGCGCTTTGTGTTGCCCTGTGTATGAAAGGCGCTCTACAAAAAAACTTTGATTGATTGATTGATACAGAGCGGAGGCATGAAGACCTCCAATCAGCAGCTTCCATGGTGTGCTTGTAGCTTGGCCTTCAGATAGACAAAACATGAAGTGGAAAAGTACAGGCTTCTGCACATTGATAGAATGATGAGTTTAACTTTAACAAAAGTTGCTTCAAAGTGTTATGAAATCTCACACATGTTTTATTTATTTTAAAACGACCAGAGTTTTGCTGCATGCAAGTGTGTATACAATTTATTTAATTCATAGTGACATACAATTACAACAAAACAAAACAAAAACCCACCAATACCATATAGTCTGAATGAAACGGAGCAGAGAAGAAGAACAAGTCTTATAATATCTGTTTCCAGGATAAAATCTCAAGAATGGCCGTCTTTGTTCTGACCAATAATGTCATATATTAGCTTCCTCTTCTTTTCTTCTGTATGAAAAAACTGGAAACTGAATCAAAGAATCCCACCTGCATGTAACTCTCTGTAATGTTCGACATAAGCATGGTTCCTCCCTGTGCAAAAAATGTGTTTACACTTTGTAAACGCACTCATTCAGACTTCTCTCTCTTGCTTGGCGGCGCTCATGGCCTTCATGAAAGTCTGCATGTAGTCTCACACGGCTCTGTCTGGTCCAGTGAGTATCAGCCAGGGCCGGTCCAACCCCCGGTGCGATCAGACAAGCGTCTCCGAGCCCCAGAACTCCATTAGCATGTAAAACCCCAGCAGTACAGCTCATCTGCACACCTAAAGCCCGGGCCAGCGACCTGAGAGGAGGAGGGGGGTCTGAGAACAAGTCAAAGGGTTGTGCTGACTATCTGCCACTGTTTGGAGAGCTCCCAGGTGTAAACAAACAGGGGAATTGTATTTAAAATGTTCTACAAAATAAGGGGATGTTTATGCCACTTAAAGATGTGAGGACTTGCAAAGCAGCTGTCGGGATAATTACAGGCTGTGTTCAGCTATTGTTGGATAAATGAAAGAAGGAACCGTGTTTAAAAGGTCACTGTTTGTCTTTTTTTAGGTGTTCTTAAAGGGGACACAACAGCTTTTGATCATGTTATAGCTGTTATACACTGTCACAGTTTTACAGGAGTGGTCTCAGAGGACTTTGAATAGAATAGACAAAAATTGTCTATTCACCAGTAATATATGGATTCAATTGATTATACTTTTGTATAGCCCTAAAACACAACAGTAGTTCTCTTGGAAGACCCCATTAGGATAGATCAGAGAATCAAACAGTTCAAACTCAGGAAATGCAACTTTATACAATTCTTTATAAGACTTTTTTGCATTTATGTTAAAACTGAGCTTGTTATTGCAATTGTGTAGAAAAAAATGACAGAGGCTGCAGCGGTGGCACTTGTAATCCGGTTTATTCCCGAGTCCCTCCAGATCGAACAAGAAGGTACAGCCTTTTTATATGATGTGTAGTAATGTGCATCAGAAAGATGTCAGAACAGAGATGCCAGACCATACTTGATTTATTAATACTGAATACAGACAATCCAAATATAAGCTCTGCGTGGCCTTAAATTCATTGAATATTATTGGGCTGAGAGGTGATTGGCTAACTTTTGTTTACTTTTCTGTATCATAATGTTGGTCTAAAGATTTGTTTTGGCATTCACCTTTTATATCATCTAGGCCTTTTCAAATCCAAACCCAAACTAGTGGCAATTGACAAACACTTTATATCTTAACTTTAAACTCTTTAAGTTGTCTAATCATTTCTGTTTGAAAGTGTATTACTCCATTTGGATGTTAAACGTGCTGCAGTTCCTTTTGTGATTCCCTCTGGGTCTGGGTCCCTGTGCTGTGACTTTAGAAGAGAAAATCAGATGTTTGTTCTTGTGTTAGGATTAGATAGCAATATGGCCTACGTGCACTGTCTCTGCGTGACATGTGTGACGTGACAATGACTATATAAACTGTGTACTGCATTTATTCTGTCTGAGAGAAAGAAACAATTGAAACCACTGGAACTTGAGAGAAACTAAAATAAACTTCCAGAGTTTGGCGCACTACGATCCGTCTCTGTCTGCTTCATTCCTGACACTTGTAATTATACCAATGTTTGGATTAAAATGTTGGGGTTAAAATCTGGAACCGTGTAATGAAATCCAAGTTTAGTTCATAGTGTATTCACATGCATGTATTATTGCCTCTGTCACATCAGCTGTATGCAAAGAATAACCCATATTTCTAGACGATAAGAAAACGATGTGGAGGTCTAGGATAGTGTCACAGCAAAAGACAAGTGACTGTTGGTGAAAGAGTTTTTCAGCGTAGACTGGGCTTTATAGAGTAAGATTAGATAAGATAAGATATTCCTTTATTCGTCTCGCAGTGGAGAAATTTCAGTGTCATCGTTGCGCACATTACAGCAGAGAAAGAAGGAAATAAGAGCACTCAGGTTGCACACATCAAACAGTCTTTTGTTTAAGATAATAGACAATAATTAAAATGAGATAAAGAATAAAATCAAATAAACTCTGGCGCTATAATTGCACTTGGTTCAGGAGTATTTACAGATGTGTGTATTGTACTTCAGCAGCGGAGAATATGAGCAGAATAAACATCAGTAATAATATCAACAGGTAGAGTGACTAGTGACAAAGTGACTGTTGAATTCTCATCAGTGACACTTGTACAGACTCAGCAGTTCTTGTTATACATTCTCGTTGTACAGCCTGACAGCAGCAAGGGAGGAAGAACCTGCGAAACCTCTCCTTCACACAGCGAAGAGGAATTAGAGAGAATGCAAAACTTCTGCCGCGGCGCCAATAGATAGTTCTGTATTCACATAATTGCATCAAAGACAAAGAAATCTCTGAAGCAGAAATGCCCATGGGCCTTTTTTTCAGTTTCCAGTTGCTTCAGTAGTTCTCTTCAGAGTTCCTTCAGATTTCCTTCATACAGAATAAACACAGGGAAATCATTTTATATGACAATTTGCATCACAACAAAAGACGCCAGTTGTAGCTAGTCCAAACAACGTGACTCAAGTCGTTCACCATAACCCTTTAATGGTCACTCCTTGAAGAAAGCTATGGATTTAAGATGTAAGACACTATTAAAAATCTCTTTATATGGGGTTTTTTCTAACCTCTAGTTTTTATTATTAACGGCTTATTACACGAGCGCGAGGTCTGTACTGAGAAACTGACCAATTGTCATGGTAACGGTCCGAGATGGGAAAATATCAGACCGCAAATCAACCAATCGTCGCGCGCGTACGATCCAAGTCATTTAAAAAAATGTTTTATTAAATGGTCAGATTCAACAAGTGTCAGTAAAGATCCATAGAAGGTTGAAAGAAGCATGTTCTGGTCCAACTTTTTTCGATTTTTTCTTTTTACCCTCTGTTGGGATAAACAGCAATAATTATTTTTGAGAAAAAAGTTAGGTACCCAAGCTTTAATGCGTTTGTTTTGCGGCTTAACAGACAATGTCACAACCATATGCTCAGCTCTCCATGTTTCTCGCTGGTACACGTTCTGTGGAGAGACAAGGATGTGCAAATGCATGAGGCACCACAAGGTCTGGCTGCAGGCGCGGGGGCCAAATGTGGGGGCCCCTGGAGAGCGGGTGCCTCGCCGATCAGAGCTCCACGGGGGCTGGGGTGGGGGCCAAACAAAGACCTTCTGATCACCCAAATCCTCCGGCCGCCCAAGGTGTCGAAGGCCAGGAGAGGAGGGCCATCACCGCCAGACCTCCCACCCCTCCCCACGTCTGCTCCAATCCACAAATTCAAAGTCACCATCACCCCCTGCAGACCACGGCACAGGCCAGTTTATTCCCACTGTTTTAACACAACATTTGCTTATAGGACTGTGGAAAATCAACCTCACAGGCACCAACGTTTCCTTCAGTTTTTTTAGGTATTTATAGGTTTATAAAGTCAATGTTATGTCAGGCATACGTCACACACCGAAAAACATATGTGTCATTGTTAGGATTAGATAGCGATTTGACCTACGGAGGACAACTGCAAGACTCTACAAGGACTCTTCTGACTGTGTATCCATGTTTTGACTATGATGTGCTCTGTCTCTGTATGACACGTACGTCTTTCAATGTGTGACGTGACAATGACTATATAAACTGTGTACTGACTCCATTTTGTCTGAGAGAAATAAACAATTGAAACCACTGGAACTTGAGAGAAACTTAAATAAACTTCCAGAGTTTGGCACACCACGATCCGTCTCTGTCTGGTTCATTCCTGACAAGTCCTTGTAGAGTCTTGCAGTTGTCCTCCGTAGGTCAAATCGCTATCTAATCCTAACATCATATCCAGAGACATCGAAAGAACATCATACAGATACACAATCGTTAGCAGACACACTTGTATAGCGATCTAATTCCCATAGGACTCTCTTCTATAATGCTCCATCCAAACAAAAGCCAAGACATTTTTATACATACTATTTTGTCTTGCATTTGTCCACCTGTGCAGTACATAGGTCACTGTTTACCACATAATAGCAAGTTTTCTAAATTCACGAACTCAAAGCGACCAGCAGAGCAAGAGAAGAACTTTTGACTTTTTTGTGGAGGAAATTATGGGAATTAGAATGCCATACAAGTGATCTGGCCTTGCGTATAGGCCACAACGACCCGATTGTGTATCTGCTATGATCGTGTGTCCGTTATGTTCTTTTAGATGTCTTGTTATGTTCTGATTGTCTCTTGATGTGACACGTATGTCTTTCTATGTGTGACGTATCTGTGACGTAAACGTTGACTATATAAACCATACCCTGACTTTGTTCCGTCTGAAAAAACCTGAAAAAACGGCAACCTGAAAGAAACTGAATAAACTTCCAGACAGCTCTGGTGAGCAACAATCCCGTCTCTGTGAGGTTCTTTTTCCACATAATATTTGGATCAGTCAGGAGCCGTTTTGGGGCCGAGTTACTGTAGTTAATCAAAAACTGAGAAAATGACAACGTGTGGGATTGTGTCTTTGATTCAGACAGAAGGTAGACGAGCACGAACATGATGATACAGAATGCAAGTGATATTATACGGTAAGAATCATAGACCGTCCAACCCGTATTTGCCAACGTGCCAGTGGTTTCAACCTTGAGATGAATCAAAACAAGTAGCGGTAACATTGCCTTGAGCATATTGTTAGAAGGATGAGTTTAACTTTAACCACAGTTTCTTCAGGGTGTCATGAAATATCCAAATGACATTGGTCTAAAAATGTACTGTCTCAAGAACTATCACGGGAGCCCATTTTTGTCTCTCACCCGGCAAAATAACAGCAAAAATCTACTAATGTGTTTGTTACAGGTTGTGATACTGAGAGAACTTTGTCCCACAGTTGGGAAATTACAGAGTTGCATTCTAAGTTACAGAAGAAGAATGAGGAGCACACTATCAGCATGGGAATGAAGTCAATATTATATAAAAAATATGACAAAATCTCTGTCTTTATACACCTGAATTACATACTCTAATACAAAGAAATATCTACTTGTATGTGTTCATCTTTAGATACATCTGTCATTCACTCTCAGTGCAAGAATATTGAAGTAATAAGTCAATAGCTTTTGTGGGTTCAAATACTCACAGTGATGATACTACTGTAAATGTTCAAATCCATAGATTGTTATAAAGCACAGCAGAATCACACTGTTCGAACACTGGACATACTATAACGACAAACACATAGGAACCATTGGGCCGCATGGAGCAGAATGACCATAAATGACCATAAATGACCATAAATGTCCTCAAACGTTAGCAGCATGAGGCACTGGACTAGAAGTGACTGAGTAAAATCCCAACATCAGTCCACCCATGATGTCATTCTGCCCCAGGGCAAGTGTGGCTCCGGTACTTAGCGAATAATGCTGCATCTGTGGGTGTGCTTTGCATAATTATCATTATCAAATGGATGTTTATTTGTATAGCACCTGTAGAATATGTTTTTCAACACACATTCATTTACAAGGCAACTCAAAGTGATATGCAAAACAACAAAGGACACATTTGACTAATGCTAAATAACAAAAGTCTTGCATCTATTTGAATTATGTTCATGGGGTGAGAGTCTACAAGTTTTTCCTTCTTTCCCACTCCATTTTGAGCTAACAAATGTATATATTTGTAAATAGAAATGCATTTGTAGATACATATTGAAATTGTAAACAAACAACACATGGTGAAACCAGAGCAAATACTGTTGCTTGATTGTATATTTATTATTTATGTTTGTATATTTGCATGTCTAAGTATATAATCTTATAGAATGTTAACACAGAAGACAACTTGTATAGAAGGTCATGCAAACTATGTAAATATTGTAAATACTTATGATTGTAACATTTCAATCGATCGATCAATCAATAAATCAGTTTAAACACACATTCAACACAAGAGCAGTGCCTCAATCAGAATGACATATTGATCGTGTAGTTTTTACGTGCTTTGGTAACTACTTTTATCACATCCACAGCTGATTTCCAACCAGAAAGTAACATTAAAAATAGACATAACGTTGATTCCAATATTAAAGTTGCCGAGACACCTTTCAGAGCTCTAGATGAATCATAAATTGTGTTTTTCCAAGAGAAAGATTCTTGTAAAAGTACTTACATGTGACCACAAATTGCACAAAAAACAGCTTTGAAAGTGAGGCATCTGCATTGTCTTGCTGTAGACCTGGTTTATCTGGTCTGAAGTCTGTTTTGGATGTGAAGACGTAAGAAAGTGTTGATCTTCGGAGCAGAGTCTGTTTAGTCTCTCAGTCACTGCTCCGTGTGATTTTGTCAGCCGCCCATCGAAGCTCTTTGAAAGGATGCTCAGCTCTGGTTCTGGGTGCTGATATGTGCAAGCAGATCACAATTCAGTCTTGTCGTCTTGGTGAGTGACCGTAACGACACGTTTTGAGCAATTACATATCTAATATAAGTATAAATTTAAGGTTATACAGTATAATGGTATATTTTATATGTGTCCTCCATTTTTATTTTTGTAATTATTAGATAGATTTTAGTACTACTGTGAGATTTCATAACACTTTGAAGCAACTTTTGTTAAAGTTAAACTCATCATTCTATCAATGTGCAGAAGCCAGGACTTTTCCCTTGTTTTGTCTATCTGAAGGCCAAGCTACATGGCACCGTGGCAGCTGCTGATTGGAGGTCTCCATGCCTCCGCTCTGTATAATACACTTGCATTCTGTTGTTCGTGTTGTTCGTGCTGTCTCTACCATCGACAATAAAACTGTCTGTCTCAGTTTCTGGAGTTTAAACTTGTGATTTGACTTAAGCCGCAGCAGAAGTGTTTGAGAACGTGTAGAAACATCCATCATGGCGTCCGAAGCTGATGAGTTTCACCGTCTGCAGACTCCACGCCACAACTTATAGACATCGCAGCAAAAACACCATGACTGTTTTTTTTCTCTAATCTGTTGTTAAGGAATTGACAATTGTGCAAAGTCCTCAGAAAACAACAGATGCTGGGATTTAAGGCTTTACAAAAAACGCATTGAATTGAGTTAAAGCATGGTTTTTCCTAACTTTAGAAACATTAATAATCAAAGTTTTTTTGTTCCATCAGATAAAGTCTTGTAAATATTGCAAACAATTTCTTTGAACAATTTTTGATTTCTAACCCTGAGAGTCACTATTTCAGCCCTAAGGCAAACACGTGCATGCATGTAAAAGTCTAGGCGTAGAACTAAGCAATTTTGAGAGCGATGATTTTAAAGTTAAGTACCCCAGCTTTAATTAGACTATTCATTATTCTGTAGCTTGTTTTCTCCCCATCTCTGTGTTTGTATAACAGGCCTTGATGATAATCCCTTATGCATGGGAAACGTGGTGAAATCCCAAAGAGGGATAGAGACCTGACTTTAATGTGGATGAAACAAAAGCGCTTTAATAATGACCCCCTCCCCAAAGAAAAAACCCTATTGAACCAAAATGTTATCTCAGCCTATCCCGGGCACTTGGCTATCACCTTGTATGAACCCTGCAGTCGTGGAACGGTACGCAAACATCCAAAAGAGTTGTCAGTCCGGCCACTTTGGGACCGAAACCTAGCGGGGGATCCGATCTTTCTGACGCGTGCGTGTGAAAAGTGACTGGCTTTTGTTCGCATGATTTCACATTGAAATTGACCCGCTCTAGACCTGAAGAGATGGGGGGGGGGGGGGGGGGGGGGGGGGGGAGGGGGAGTAGAATGGCCTTGTATTGATGATTTCCTGAGGGGAGGGGAGGGTAAGGGAAGGGGAAGGGGAGGGGAGGCGCTGGCGAGCACAGGGCTGGCTCTGCGCACTTTTACGCACTGGCACTGGAGGCACTCGTGTTGGCGAAGCGATGCGCGCAATGGACTAAAAACTTTACTCTCACAGACTTTTGCAATTGTTTAAACCAGCCTGAGTTGTGTATGCGGAGGAATATCGCGTGTTTTTGCCCTCTGGAGACCGCGCAGAGGTTTGCGCACACGATCAGGTGAGCAATTTGTTCATTTCGGCATCAATCAACACCGGGTTCGTTGATCAATTGGACACGAGCTGCTGCTGCTTTTGAGCCAAAAAAGCCAGCAAAAACGGTTTGAACAGTATATGTTGATGGTCTTAATAAGAAAAATAATTAGTTGAAACCATTCCCTTTTTTTCTTGGGTCTTGCTCCAAATTAGATTTTTGTTGTGGTTTATTTTCTTTTCGGGTAAAGCCAGACATTGTGGGCGAATATATGGTGCGTTGGAGAGGTATTGGTATTTGACAAAACGTACAGATTTTCGATTTCGTGTTGGGGTGGGAGATGCCTGTTGAAAGAAACGCGGTGATCAAACTCTGTATCGTTGTGTTTAGGTGCTGAGGGCCTTTTATAACGTTTTTTAATGTTCTATTTTTATCTAATTTTGAGCGTTAATCCCGTGTTTATTGTTATTTGGTCAAAGTCATAGCTGTGTATTGTATGCATTGTTTTGGAGTAAAGTGGCTTCAGTTTCTGAAGTTTTGGACTGCAAATTTACTCTTTCACCGCACATGAATTATTGAAACTGCCTTTGCCGTCCAGTATGATGGGGCCTAGGAACCGCCTCTGAGGAACCCCATTGTCCCAGTCTGTGCGCACGGCTATTGGGGTCTGGCTCTACAAGCTGTGCACATCAAGGGACTGAAAGTTTGGCCCATTTGTCCTAACAAACAAGTTGAAGAAATTCTGAATATCTATCTATCGCTTCACAAAAATTAATTGGAATGTGGAATAGAAGCCTTTGAACTAATACTATCAGAACTTGCGACCTGCAGGGGAAAGCCTCATAATATCAGTCCTCAGATGCTAAGCAGGACAGGGCCTGGTTAGTACATCGATGGGAGACTAAAAGGAATAACAGGAGCCCCAGTGGAAGGGCAAGTAACCAAACTGCTGTTGTGAATTTAGGCAAGATACCAAACCACATCCCCTGTGGCAGCTGTGGGAACAGTGTATATGCAGTTCACATTTTTAGAATTTATTTGGCCGACACGGTGCTGAGTGGATAGCACTCTCACCTCTCAGCAAGAAGGTCCTGGGTTCGAATTTCGGTCGGACCAGGGCCTTTCTGAGTGGAGTTTGTATTTTCTCCCCATGTCTGCGTAGATTTCTTCCGGGTACTCCGGTTTCCCCTACCACTAAAAACATGTGCAATAGTTCTGGCATGCGCCTCCTGTACTGGCGACCCTGCTCCCATCTCTGTGTGGAGTGAGAGACAAATGCCCAAAAAAATCACAATTGTAAACCGCTTTGTGACTCTGGTCTGTGAAAAGCAGTATATAAATAAAGATTACTTACTTACTTACTTTAACATCCTTCATCCGTGTACACTGGCAAATTATACACAACTGAAATTCAAGCTTGGAAAATTGTTCAAAACTTGACTCTTGTTTTTTTTTTTTTTTCTCCAATATAATGTCTGAAAATAATGTGGCAAGAGCTCTGGTGTGTGCCGTGCTCTGTCTGGTGCACACTGGGGTAGTCTTGCACAGTTTTTCCAATGTGGTTTTACTGCAAATGGCAAATAAATGAATGTGAATCTGAAAACGTCTCTGAATCGGCTCACGTTTGGGCTCTCCTGAACGAAACTATTCTGGTCAATACAGAATAGTCTTGTTGAATATGGCACCTTTTTGTTAATTTGTTAAATCTATTCCCTCATGAATTTAGGAAATCTGGAGTTTTTATGACTAGTCAGTCCTCAAACCAGTGATAGAAATCCACCATAGCCAGACACAGGCCTGTAACTCTCATAATAACTTGATTAAATTATTTTTGATCATTCAATACAACCTCTCTTCCTCCTCATCCTCATGATCGTGTTTGTCTGTTCATTCCCATTTTAGGCTTAGTTTGGATTTATTTGTTTTTTAATTCATTGTATTACCATGAAACTTGCATATTTAAGTGTTTTCCTTTGTGTGAATCCTTTGAGCTTCACTGGTACAGACTTGGTGGAGTTCTGGGTGGACTTCCAGCTGTGTGCTGTGAATGCTGCATGTGTTTGTGTTGTGTTGAGATTTTCCAAAGGCTGAGATGGAGACGCATCACTTCCAAAGATACTAGTTTCAGTCAGCGCGGCAAAGGCATAGTTTTACATCTCTACCTTCTCTCCACACATAGTAATCCAATGTTTCAATCAGTAATCCAATGAACGAGGCTGCTAATCTGCATTATCATAGGCCAGGCATGTCCAGACTACTGCCCTCGTTCTAGCTATTTCAATAACTATTTCAATTCTGAGTTGTTCAACTTGTTTGACAAAAACACATTCTTCTTCCCTTTACATTGGTGGTTTTGGACGAGAATGTATTCAGTCCAAAACCCATGAAGTGTAGTGAAACGCCCCCATGTAGCCAATTTATGATCCACTTTTTGTTGTAAAAAAAACCAAAATTGTCAGAAGAAATTCCCAATATTAATTTAGACAGAGTAAAAAAACACAAGAGTTAAAACATGGAACCAACATCTCCTTTTGAAGCAGACTTGCCTCATATTGTTTCAAAGTCTCAACACTGTCAGTTTGTTGAGAAACACTAACCCCTAGTGGATTATTGTAATCATTGTAGCTTCTTAACAGCATCTATATGCTTTGGTGCTAACCCTAAATGTGAATTATTTTGTTGAATATGGTCTTGGATTTTCTGGAGGACCAAAACAAATAGTACTTAAAAAATAATCAATTGCATTAAAATGTCAGTACAAAGTCTGAGATTCAAAAATATATAATTATTAAACGTCTGTTTTGTGCTCAATGAGGGAATGTTTTTATTTATTTTTGTTACTATCTTGTTTAGTATTCATTTAATAATTTTTGTTCTGCATTTTTTTTATGTGAATTAATTTGGGTTTTCCTTTTGTCAAATTGTATATGCTCAATACAAAGCCCTCAATATTATTTTCTGCCAGCTTTATTATTTTGGATCTTCCTTTTTAATGCCTACATTATTCTTTTTTGACTTTGACCAAATTCAAATGAATAGGGTGGCCTTCAGATGGTTAGGTGCAACAAAGATTTCCTGAACTTGAAGTATCTCGGCTCTGTTTAATCTGTCATATGGGAATGAAGAGTATGGCACCACTGAAAATCTACCAAGGCTCAGCTGTCTGCCCAAACTCACAGCCTTTTATTGTCTTTGAATCCAAAATATCTTTGCAATTGTGATTAATCAAAATGTGCAAAAGTTGAAGCTGTATTAAAAGGCAATGCAAAGTTTGTTGGTATAGCACAGTTCCTACACACACTGTGCTTTTGCACACAAATACATTTTCACAAAAAGATTGTGAATAGAGTCCTTCAGTTGTGGGCACAGTTTAAAATAACTGTTTTAAGAGTCAGAGTAGAATCCAGTCTCACATTTCCAGGAAGACTGTTGCAGATGTTAGCTGGATAATTCTGAAATGCGGCCTCCCATTTGTTCCAACTCTGGGAACCAGCAGGAGGCCACTAACATGTCACAGAGGAACTTTGGTGCGAGGCCATGGAGCAACTTTTAATTTTTAATTCAATAGTTTGGAGTTTATTACAATTGCACTTTATATTCACAAAGAAACAAACGTGAAAAAAGGTTATTTAATATTGTAATTGTGCTGCTTTAAACACCACTGGAGCAGGGCATCATGCATCAGCGCTCCTTACTGCAGGTGTCCTGTGAGCTCCTGCTTATTAGACTTGTCCTTTTTTACAATGACCACAATTCATGTTAGAACCATGTGTGTATGTGTGACCAGCTATGAGACGGCAGAACAAGTTTAACTCCCAGTGCCTCTGTTCCAGGGACGATGCTGGAGCGTGTGGAGCTGGTGCTCTCTGTCCTGGTGGAGCTCCAGGATGCCACAGAGCTCAGCGGCCTGGCTGCTCTCACCAAAGTGGCCCACAAAGTCTCTCCGGTGCTGGGAGCCTTCCCCTTGCCCCCGGCCCCCTGTGTGGACTTCCCTGAGTGGGCTGGAGTGGATCGACTGGCCCATGGCCTGTACCCATCAGATGCCCCTGGAGGCCTGCTGCCACTGAGCTGCAGAGGAGAGGGGAACATGCTCTTCGACTCCGTCAGTATGCTGCTGGTGGGGACCACCGGGCTGAGCCTGGAGCTGCAGGTGAGTAGCATCAGTACACAAGGGATGCGCTAGTCATCAGTACACACTAGTCATCAGTACACACTAGTCATCAGTACACACTAGTCATCAGTACACACTAGTCATCAGTACACACTAGTCATCAGTACACATTAGTCATCAGTACACATTAGTCATCAGTACACACTAGTCGTCAGTACACACTAGTCATCAGTCAGTACACTACAGACTAGTCATCAGTACACACTAGTCATTTGTGCGTGCATGATTCAGGTTCCTTCGTAGACTTCACAGGGTCTGGGGCCCTTCACCTCATGAGGACTGAGCAGTTCTACTGACAGGAGTCAAATCTGTGTTTGTATTGCGGGCAGCAAGTCATTATTACCCATCGCTGCAAGACCTGTACTTCGCCCGAGCTCGAGGCCGGGCTGGTCGTATCACAGCCGACCCCTCTCACCCTGCACATGGACTAATGGATAATTTTATTTTAGATTCTATTCCTTAGAAGTGTTGGTGTTTTTGTTGTTAATTTTGTATCGTGCCTTATCTACTCTTTACCTCTCTTTCTGACTGTTACACTGAGCCTTAACAATTTCAGAGTCTGTGACTTCTTGTTACTTACGTGGCAATAAAAATCATTCTGATTATTAGATGTGTTCCTAGTGCATGTTAGACTCTGATTTTTATGGATAGAATTTCAGGGTGCAGCTAGGGGTCAACGGGAGTCCTGTTTGGCGACCTTCTCTCAGAATCAGAATAATATATTAAAAGCCACACAAGTGGCAAGTTGGTGGAAATTGTTCCTGGAAGAGCAAAAATGCTTGTAGCGCACAGCGTTAGTCATGTCACAGGGGAGGTATTTGGAAACCATATTTATAAACAAATCTTATAAACAGTTCCACTGAAAAAGGGAAAACGGGTATGGCATTCACTTATGTCACTAATGTCGAAATTTTCACAATTTGTAATGGTGCAACATTTCTTTTCAGCTTGTACGTCTCTTACTACAATACATCTTTACCATGGGTTCTGTCCCACCATGTTCATTCACACTTATGTAAATTAAATAATAAATCCCCCATCACACATTAAACTGCCTAAACTACTGGTTTGCTGTTGCTTCCATAGGTCCGCACAGTCGTGGAGATGGCAATGTGGAAGCGCTACTACCTCTCTGGGATGATTGACTCCAAGATGATGCTGCAGGCCGTGCGCTTCAGTCTGTGCGCAGAAGAGTCTGAGGACATGCTCAACCTGCCAGGCAACGTTCTGGAAGCCATCTTTGACGCTGACGTAAAGGCATCCTGCTTCCCGGGCTCCTACGCCAACATGTGGCATGTCTACGCTTTGGCTTCAGTGCTTCGCTACAACATATTTTCCATATATCCGATGTTCAATCACAAAATCAGGCCCTACTTTCACCGCATTATCTGCCCCAGGTCTTGGCCCAGCGATTCCGAAATGCAGACTTTGCACGTCATGTGGTCGGGGGATCTGCAGTCGGAGTCTGTGTTCAGGCCAAACCATTTTGTCGCGTTGGTTCCAAGCGGGAGCATTGCATTCGGGAGCCCAATCAGCGACCCCAGCGCGTCCCCGGCCAAAAGCGAGGAGCTGCTGAACGAAGCACAGATGACCTACCCGAACATGAAGGACAAGTACAACATCACCAAGAGAACCTTCTATCGGTGGAAGAGGCAGTCCCAGGAGCATTGCAAGAAGTCCACTGCGCGATACGAAGCAAAGTATTTCCTCCAGGCGTGCTACAACGACGGCAAGCTTATCCCGCTGCATCAATTCAAGTTATTTTTCCCGGAGATTTCTCGCTCTTCCTACTACAACTGGAAGCAAGAGCTGCTCAAATCCGGCGGGCATTTTTCTGTGCATTCATCTTCTGGCGAAATAAGTCCTGGGGAAAGCACAGAGCAAGAAGTGTGGTCCTCTCCAGATCCCAAAGATGACGATATAGAGCATCATGACAGCGTTGCTAGCATGTTTGGTCTAAGCATGGGCAAACCGGATACGGAAAGGGCCAACAACGTCGCCAACATGCAAGAAGCCAAGCGCTGCCTACAAAACTGCATCGCAATGAATACGTCATTCCCGTTCCGCATTTTCAAGAGGAATTTCCCGGGGATTTCGAGATCTACCTACTACAACTGGAGAAGAGAAGCCATGATGTCCAACCGCGGTTACAAAGGGAGCACAGGCAGCAGCGATGACGGTTCGGATATCGATAAAAGCCAAAGCCCAAAGCGTTTTCCACCCATTATCTCCCTTTTCAACGCCAACCAGGTCCAGCCAAGGCGCCGGATCTGCAGGAGGAAACGCAAGAGTTTGCGAGAGGCCTACATCGGGAAGAAACTCATCCGAAATGCTGCTAAACATTACGTGCTGCGATCAAATTCTTCCCCGGCCAAATTCAAGCTCAAATTCCCAAGTGTATCCCTTTGCTTTTTCTGGCTCTGGAAAAATGCTGGAAAACCTAGCGAAATGCCGCTCGATATGTCCTTCCCAAGCGCAGAGGTGGTAGATGCCACAAAAAGCCATGTCGATTCGCCAATGGAGAATGCTCAGATCAACCCAAATATGGCGCTACATTTCGAAAGCCCAACTTGCCACCAGAAAACGCCCGCAGCTACGTTCACCGCACCGCTGCCTCGACCCCAGCCCCCCGTTGTCCCCCAGATGCCGGCCAGGGAGCAGATGCTAAGCCTGGATGTGGTGTCTTTGGCAAACTTCAAGGCCATGGCGAAACTTTTCCTGCAGCAGCGTTTCGAGGAGAAATCGTTCCCGTCGTTCAAGGAGTTTCGTTCGTTTTTCCCCTACACGCCGCGATCCACCTACTACATGTGGAAGCGGGCTTTGTACCATGGCGTTTCACTGGTGCATGGCTGAAAGTTCGGATTTAGTCCATGGCCGCCTACCCCAAAAAACTGTGTAAATAGCGTTTGGCTTAGAAAAAAAATTACTGATTTACTACTACCTACAAGAGTGCCTTAAGGAAAATGCAAGGCTCCAAAAGACTCAAAGAAGGACTAGGAATAATGCAAACGGCAGCACAAATGATTGTTTTGATTAAAAGGGATTTATTATACATTCAACTTCTTTTAACCAAAGTTTCATTTCAATAGAGAAATGTTGTATGGTCCTTCATTTGACTCTTTTCTCAGGAAATGTTAGTTTCAACTACCTATCCCCACCGATTTTGGCCTTCTTGCACACATTTTGAGTTGACTTTTTTTTTTTTTTTCAAGATCACTATGAGCATTGATGTTCTTTTTATAGAATCATTTTTTTCAATCCAACTAAGGAAGAGCAATCATTTTAGACACTTTAGGCTGAGAGAGGAGGAGGAGGCCAATCTGGGGTAGAGTTGAACTAGTTAGATGGTTTCAAATACATGTGATTTCCTTTGCTGTTTTGAAAATTGGCCAAGCATCAGGTTTTATGAAATGTTACCACGCCATGATATTTGTTTTGATTTGTTTTTAAATGTGTGCGTACTTGACTGAAAAGGCTCATTTCACAATAATAGGTGGATGGCTGATAATGGCTGATCTGCAGTTTAAAACAGCAGTGTCCGGTGCCTGTTACTTTAAACTGGCTCATTTTGAAATGATCATAAACCCTCAGAATGGTTCTCACAGCCCGTTAAGAATCACTGCAATTTTTCTTCAACTGAGAAAAGTCCTTGGCCAAAATCTAAAATTTAAAACTGTACTGGTTTTTACTGCACAAAAATAGTACGTGAAAATGACTTGTATTCAACACAGGCTGTTTTGTAGCATACGCTGCTATGACTTTTTTCATATTCTATGATTGTAAATGCATTTTTAAGTTCTTTTTGTTTTATGTATTTGAAAATCCACAATCCATCGTTACTGTTGATTCTTTAGAACTACTTGTACACGGTTTTACAATTGCACCAAATGTTGATGTCACTCAATGTTGCACTGATGATCTCACACTTTCATATGTTTACATGTTTACACAAATATACTTGACGTCTGGATGTGAAACACTACCTTTCTGAACTATCTATGTGTATGTTATAGATGTAACCAAGCGCGCAGGGTTGGAGTGGGCGGGAGCTGTTTGGCCTTTTATTATTCTGTATTCCTAAAGCGTATGTGGTCAATGTTGACAAAGGGCTGTGTGTCAATAAAAAGTTTGGCTAACATACAAATATGCTTCTTCCCCTCTTTTGTTTAGAGTCAGACATTGATGCCTGAAATAGGAGAAATATTATGTAAAGTCTTGTTCCTCATCAAAGACCCAAAGGTCCTGGGTGTGATTCTGTCTCCGGACAGGGCTTTCTGAGTCGAGTTTGCATGTTCTTCCCATGTCTATATAGGATTTTCCTTTATCGCTAAAATCACATGGCTTCAGCTCCGGTCCTGACCAAGCCGGACACAAAAATATGGAGACAGGTTTCTGGGCACTCCCAGAATTGTACATCATATATCCTGGATATCTCAAATATTATTGTTCACAACTAATATACTTTAGCTTGCACTAACACATATATGATGGCAATGCTACACTTTAAATACATTGGATAGTATTTTCTTAAATGATAGTGCTCTTATTTCTCCTGTAAAATGCTTGACAATAACAATTATTTTAATATAGTGAAGAGATTGTGGTCTTAAGATTATTTTAGAAGAGTGAATGTTTGGCCAAGTTTACAATTGCAAACTGCTTTTTTTGCCCTGGAAAAATGTTCCCATTACAGTTTATAATGAATCATATTTTTTAGGCCTTAAGAATAAATATAGTAACACTCATCACATACACACCGTTAGTCTTTCTGAATTAAAAAGAGTCACATGTCTGGTTGGGGTGGTTTTGCTCAGTGTTTTTCCTCTGTCTTTGTGCCGATGCTAATGGTGATGCTGGAGGTGTGGAGCCACGGGGGGCGGTCCACTGTATGCATGAGCCCACGTCCAGATAAGCTCCTGGGTCCACAGACAAGGGGGAGGAGGGGGAGACCGGGGCAAACTGGAAATAACAGCTTTTGGGCAGAATCGGCCACAAACTCACAGCCAAAGTTTATTTATTTGTCTATGCCAAATTACATATTTACATCATATATTTCCTTTACATTTGTGCAACATATACAAATAGGAACCCCATATAAAACCCTGTCCCTCATGAAGACGATGACGAAGTCTGGGATCGTGTCTTTCATTCAGACAGAAGACATGTTTTATTGTCAATGGTAGAGACAGCACGAACAAAGCACACGAACAAAGGATTTAACAAACTGTTAGTGATAATATAGCATGGGAGAATGAAGTCCTCCTATCAGCAGCTGCCACAGTGTTCTGCATATGTAAGAATGAAGTTAGAACTTTAACCATAGTTGCTTAAAAGTGTTATGAAATCTCACACTTAATAACAATGGATTGGTTCATTGTTCAAAACCAAAATAGAACGTGGGGTTTGCACACATAATCATAAAGTAAAATCCTATTACATGTCTCAAAATGACTGCTCATCATGCTCGGTACACCACTCCCAGCAGGGCTGAAAACTGTCAGCTCTTATTTTGTATTGCTAAAAAATTCATATAAAACTATTCCAGGAAGATAATATATTCATACAACATTGCATTACTGTCGTTAGAAAAGCACAATATTGCAAGTTGTGTGTTAAGTCTGCTTATCTCTTCTGTCCATTGGCGTTGGTCATAAAACATTCTCATTGTATAGTTATGTTATCTCTGTATCTTGTATCTCCAGTTATCTCTGTCCATTGCAAGTGACCTCACGTGTTTGGAATATTGGACTGGTTTATAACAAATGCCAATGTGGAGCTGTTTTTTAACAAATACCCCCTTTGTAAAGACCTCAAGGACTGTTTTGTCAGGAAAAACCATCCATTGGAAAGTCACCCAGCAGCTTCACTTCACTGGGCTCAAAACAATTAATAGATAAATTAAATGGATAATCGCGAGTTTAATCTAAAATATTGTTAGGTAGAGCTTCTCTTCCAACTCATACTTCCAGATGAGTTGGAAGAGAACCTTTATTTTTCCTCCCAAGTTTGCAGCATGCACACAGGACAGTAGTGAGAGCACACAAAATATAGACAGGTTAGTAACTGTGAATGCTACGAACAATATGTGTGTGTGTGTGTTTGTGTGCGTGATTTGTGTTTAGTTTTATAACCTTCCTCACCTGACCTTCATGTAAGTGATGACCAGTTAGCTTTTACAGGTGTCTAAACTTCACACTGATTAAATCTAGGTCGCAAGGCGGGTTGAATGCCCAATTGTTCTGAGTGGGAATTAATCTAGGGTATTGTCACTCTGTTGAAATCATGTAAGCACAGTGTGACAGTTTCATCAGAACAGTGGGGTGTTGGGTGGTTGTCTGCCCCCATGGTAGAGGCGTCCTTGGACAAGACAGTGACCCGCCGGCCCCTGGTCCAACAGTTTAGCAGGAAGGTGTGAACGAGCGCCGCTGGTTCAAAGCTCTTCACCTTCAGGCATTTGTCTCAAAGCTTTTCCCTGTGACAGAAACCCTCAGAACCTCTGTCTGCTTCTTTAGAAGTGGTTTCACACTGACCAAAACCCTGAGTTTTCACCAAAAACCCTGGGTCGCTCTTTCCATTACGCTGCCGTGTCATTTTGGCTCGCCTTTCTAGTCATCTTTAGATCAAATCTTTTTACCGAGCCATGTTCAGTGTAAGCACAGCGGCCAAATATGGCAGTAATTGAAAGGTATTGCGCATATGATGAACTAAGTTCTTCTAAGAGAATAGTTTGTTGGAAGATACTCCATATGTCCGGGAAGTCATTGACTGAAGATTCAAGACAGCGATGTGTTCGGGACAGAAGATCCTGATACTGAATTTGCTGAAAACAACTGCAGGACTGTGACGGAGGAGGGAACAATGTTGCAACTGGAATAAAATCACAAAAATACATCTCACACATTAATATTTTTATTTACAAAAATTATTCAATTGTCAAATATAAAAAAATATATATATATATATGAAGAATCAGATTCAGTTCATTTTCCTCTTTCAGGCTCAAAACACATTGAAAAATGACAAATATACGTACACTGTGTACACCAGCGACAACAAAACACTTTTTCAAACTAACACACAGGTGTACACACATCAGCGCACACAAGCGTACACTGTGCGCTCGTGCTCCCACACACAGCTTCTGTCAGGGGCCTCTGGGAGAACCACGTCAGCATAGACCACATCCTCTGGGTCAGAGTCCAAGGCCGATTCCAGGACCTGCTTCGAGTCCATAGAGTCCATGACGTGCTCTGAGTCCAGGGCCTGAAGAAACAGCAGTCACTACAGTCATGGAGACCACATACACATGTTATTAACATAAACACAAGATACTCTCTTTATGTTTCTAAATAAAACACTATATATTTTTCATGCTTGTGAGAAAGAGCTTTGGGCTGGATTCTCCATATTGCTGAACAATATCTCGATATATTATATATGACGATAAATAGCCCTTCAAAAACTACTGCAAATACAAACATGCCAATTTCCAAAGTGTTATTTTTATTGAACCTCAAAAAGAAATTATACATATTGCCTTTTTTTTCATTCAAAAATAAAATAACTCAACATTGAAGATCGCAAAGACTATCGCAAAGTAATGCCTCGACTTTATAATCTGTGTCTGTGATTTTGTTTTTAGCTCTGTACAAAGTTTACAGTTTCTGTATAAAGCCACGTTGTTCAATGACGACAAAAGGTGCCATGTCACCGTTATATCAAATGCCATGGACTCTGACGCTACACCACCTCCTACTGAGACTGAGTTACTTACACAGTTGGCTGCAGATGTGTCAGGTTGAGTTGTCGCTCTGGGATCTGAAAAAACAAGAATTCACTCAGGTCAAATGTATGATTCTCAATAACAGAAAAGACACTTTCTGTTACAACATCTGGACTTTCTAACGTCTGGAGTCTTGCAACAAACCAGGGACCGAAAGGACACAAAGCACATCAAGAATACAAGTATTATTCAATGGATGGAAAGCTAATCTCTTTGATGTGCTTGGAGTCCCCTCATCCACTATCACTATATCTAACTCAGCAGGAAAAATGGATTGTGTAGAATGAAGGCAGTGAGGGATTTTTCACTGGAGAAATCCCTTTTGTATTACGAGGCAAAAAAAAATCCATCTTAACATTTCTAACCCTAAAAGACCAATTATTTGTGGTTGCAAGTGATTTCTGGATAGTTACTGTTTATTAGTTTTGCTGATAAAACTAATCTATTTTGTGATTAGTTTGTGCAAAGGCAGTGCTTATTTCTTACATAATAGTGAAGTAATTCTGAGCCGTGTTGTGAGGTCAGGCTAAAAACAGAACCACGTTTTGTCAATGAGTTTCAAAAGCCAATTTCACATCTGCACTGACTTCATTTCCCATTTAACTACAAGTCAAACTGTCATAATAAAACAATCAAACAGCATTTAAAAGCATTTCTATGTATGAGTTTATAGGGGCATAAATAGTGGACTCACTTGGGTTCAGACAGTGTACTCGGAAAAATAGAATATCGCACAAAAGTGGATTTATTTCTGTTATTCAACTTATTTTCTATTATACCACTTTTTTATGCCTTTTTTGTTTCAATATTGATGATTATGGCTTACAGTCCATTTGAGAAAAAATATTTTACATTTCTCAGATTGAGTTTTTACAAGTTGTGATACATAAAGCTTCATAAATCTCCCTTTGTGTTTAAGATTCAGATTTATTTTATTTGACATTTGCGGTAAAACCACATTTGCTTTCGACAGAGCCACTAAACTGGGATACATTTGCAAAAGTCCCCAGTGTGCACCAGACAACTACATGCATAAATCAAGGTGGAAAAAAAAATAAGTACAGGAGTAAAACAAGCTAAAGTACAGGAATAAAAGAAGATAAGCTGTTAGCCTAGAACGACGTCTTCTGCCAGAGGGAAGAAGAAGAGTCAGGGGGGGGTACTGTATTTTTAGTACCAAAATACAGTACTAAATGAGACTGCTAGCATAAGACGAAAACATTTTTGACAAATGACTATCTGCAGTTAGGGCTGAGGTTTATACTAATTCCAATGGACTCTGAAAACAAACTGTGTATGTAAGTCCTTTTTTACAGCAAAGGCAGAACATATCTTGTTAAACTCACGTCTTCTTTTGTTCAAGGCGAAAACGGCGGCAGCCACGAGCAGCACACCACAGACGACCCCGAGTGTAGGAGCCACCACGGAGGTCCAAGCCTGGTCTTCACTTCCACCTTCTGCAGAGGAAGAAATTAGGTTCTTTAAAGCCAGATCTTGAGGCTGCTATGGAATGTCACCTTCCAAAATGTGAAAAATAGGTGGATAAGTATGAACGAATCTAGTGGTATGAGCAGTGGGGGCAGGTCCTGGCTCAAAAGTGGCCAAAATGACGTGCGCTGACATGCTTGCAATACCACCCTGGGCCGATGGGGGTGGACCCGGAATAAGAATTAGCCAATGCTAACGTATAGCATCTTCCTACTTCTGGAAAACGTCTTTACAGGATGGTCCTAAAGTTGGCTCTTGGCCCAAAGCTCCGTTCCACATGTGTGTCAATGCTGAGGGGGGTGAATTTTTTTGGACCAGTCTAGTTTAGTTGCTGTGAATTTTTGAAGTCACTCGTTTAAGTGAATGGGGCTCGTGCAGGCTGACGCATGTGCAGATGCGTTTTTTCACATTGTCCAGCCCCCGCTGCCATTTTGAACCACTCCAGGAAAGCCCAATTTTTGGCCCATTAGTTAGAACGGCGGAGATAGGCGTGACGACGTTCGTTAATATATACAGTCTATGGGTATAAGTAGGAAATGACCTTCTGCGAGTAAATCTAACACTGAAGGTAGCTCAATAGCGTGATGGAGAATGTCCAATTATTTCCATTGATTAAGACTCGACCCATGTGCTCCGATTGAGGTGTGAATAACCAGTCGGTTTGGCGTGACTGGATCAAACTCTTTTAACGGCCAGCAGATGCATTTAAGAGCACAGGGAAAAGACATGCTTTGATTAGAAATGTATGTATTCATTTTCATTGACGTCGCCCGGCATGGCGCAGCCGGGGCCCCACCCTGGAGCCAGGCCTGGGGTCGGGGCCCGTATGCGAGCGCCTGGTGGCCGGGCCTTAGCCCACGGGGCCCGGCCGGGCTCAGCCCGAAGGGATGACGTGGGCAGTCCCTCCTGTGGGCCCACCACCTGCAGAGGGGTCCGTGGTGAAGCGGTGCAGAGAGGACTGGGCGGCAGTCGAAGGCGGAGACCTCGGCGACCCAGTCCGCACACACAACATCTGGCTCTTGGGACGTGGAACGTCACCTCACTGGGGGGGAAGGAGCCCGAGCTCGTGGGGGAGGTTGAGCGATACCGACTAGAGATAGTCGGCCTCACCTCCACACACAGCTTGGGCTCTGGAACCCAACTCCTTGAGAGGGGTTGGACGCTCCACTTTTTGGAGTTTCCCGCGGGGAGAGGCGGCGAGCTGGGGTGGCCATTCTCATTGCCCCCCATCTCAGCCGCCACGTGTTGGAGTTCTCCCCGGTGAATGAGAGGGTCGCGTCCCTCCGCCTCCGGGTGGGGGACAAGTCTCTCATTGTTGTGACGGCCTACGGGCCTAACAGCAGTGTAGAGTACCCGGCCTTCTTGGAGTCCTTGGGAGGGGTACTGGACGGTGCACCGCCCGGGGACTCCGTTATTCTCCTGGGGGACTTCAACGCCCATGTGGGAAACGCCAGTGACACTTGGAGAGGGGTGATCGGGAAGAGCGGCCCCCCTGATCTGAACCCGAGCGGTGCTCAGTTGTTGGACTTCTGTGCCAGTCGCGGTTTGTCCATCACGAACACCATGTTCGAGCACAAGGGTGTCCACCAGTGCACGTGGCACCAGGACACCCTAGGCCGGAGGTCGATGATCGACTTTGTTGTCGTATCATCTGACCTTCGACCGCGTGTCTCGGACACTCGGGTAAAGAGAGGGGCGGAGCTGTCAACCGATCATCACCTGGTCGTGAGTTGGATCCGCTGGCAGGGGAAGAAGCCGGTCAGACCTGGCAGACCCAAGCGTATAGTGAGGGTCTGCTGGGAACGTCTCGCTGAGCCCCCTGTCAGACGGACTTTCAACTCACACCTCCGGGAGAGCTTCTCCCAGGTCCCGGCGGAGGAGGGGGACATGGAGTCCGAGTGGACCATGTTCTCTGCCTCAATCGCCGATGCGGCGGCTCGTAGCTGTGGTCGCAAGGTCTCTGGTGCTGGTCCCGGCGGCAACCCCCGAACCCGGTGGTGGACACCGGCAGTAAGGGATGCCGTCAGGCTGAAGAAGGAGTCCTATCGAGCCATGATGGTTCGGGGGACTCCTGAGGCAGCTGTCCAGTACCGGCAGGCCAAGCGTGCCGCGGCCCGGGCTGTTGCAGAGGCAAAAACCCGGGACTGGGAGGAGTTCGGAGAGTCCATGGAGCATGACTATCGGTCGGCCTCGAAGAGATTCTGGCAAACCATCCGGCGCCTCAGGAGGGGGAAGCAGTTCTTTGCCAACACCATGTACGGTGCGGGTGGAGAGCTGCTGACCTCGACTGGGGATATTGTCGGGCGGTGGAAGGAATACTTTGAGGTTCTCCTCAATCCCCCCGTCACGTCCTCTGTTACAGAGGCAGAGGCTGAGGATGTTGGGGCGGGTACATCCATCTCCCTGGCTGAGGTCACCAAGGTGGTTGGTAGCCTCCATGGTGGCAAGGCTCCGGGTGTGGATGAGATCCGCCCTGATTATCTAAAGTCTCTGGATGTTGTAGGACTGTCTTGGCTGACACGTCTCTGCAACATCGCGTGGCGATCGGGGGCAGTGCCAATGGAGTGGCAGACCGGGGTGGTGGTCCCTCTCTACAAAAAGGGGGACCGGAGGGTGTGTTCCAATTATCGTGGGATCACACTCCTCAGCCTCCCCGGTAAGGTCTACTCCAAGGTACTGGAGAGGAGGTTACGGCCGATGGTCGAATCTCGGATCCAGGAGGAGCAGTGTGGTTTTCGTCCCGGTCGCGGAACACTGGACCAGCTCTATACTCTCCATCGGATACTCGAGGGTTCATGGGAGTTCGCCCAACCTGTCCACATGTGCTTTGTGGATTTGGAGAAGGCGTTCGACTGTGTTCCCCGGGGTGTCCTTTGGGGGGTTCTCCGGGAGTACGGGGTCGGAGGTCCTCTGCTGAGGGCCATCCGATCCCTGTATGACCGGAGCCAGAGCTGTGTTCGCATTGCCGGCAGTAAGTCAGACCTGTTCCCGGTGAATGTTGGCCTCCGACAGGGCTGCCCTTTGTCACCGGTTCTGTTCACTGTATTTATGGACAGAATATCTAGGGGCAGCCAGGGGTCGGAGGGGGTCCGGTTCGGAGACCACAGGATTTCATCTCTGCTGTTTGCGGACGATGTTGTCCTGTTGGCTCCAACGAACCAGGACCTGCAGCATGCACTGGGACGGTTTGCAGCCGAGTGTGAAGCGGCTGGGATGAGAATCAGCACCTCCAAATCCGAGGCCATGGTGCTCGACCGGAAAAAGGTGCCTTGCCCTCTGCAGGTGGGTGGAGAGGTCCTTCCTCAAGTGGAGGAGTTCAAGTATCTCGGGGTCTTGTTCACGAGTGAGGGAAGAATGGAGCGTGAGATTGACAGGCGGATCGGTGCAGCGTGCGCAGTTATGCGGTCGCTGTATCGGACCGTTGTGGTGAAGAGGGAGCTGAGCCAAAAGGCAAAGCTCTCGATTTACCGGTCAATCTTCGTTCCCTCCCTCACCTATGGTCATGAGCTTTGGGTAATGACCGAAAGAACGAGATCGCGGATACAAGCGGTCGAAATGAGCTTCCTCCGCAGAGTGGCTGGGCGCTCCCTTAGAGATAGGGTGAGGAGCTCAGTCACACGGGAGGAGCTCGGAGTAGAACCGCTGCTTCTCCACGTCGAGAGGAACCAGTTGAGGTGGCTCGGGCATCTGTTCCGGATGCTTCCTGGACGCCTCCCTGGGGAGGTGTTCCGGGCACGCCCCACCGGGAGGAGGCCCCGCGGAAGACCCAGGACACGCTGGAGGGACTATGTCTCTCAGCTGGCCTGGGAACGCCTTGGGGTCCCCCCGGACGAGCTGGAGGAAGTGTGTGTGGATAGGGAAGTCTGGGCGTCTCTGCTTAGACTGCTGCCCCCGCGACCCGGCAACGGATAAAGCGGAAGAAAATGGATGGATGGATGGATGGATGTATTCATTTTGATCATTGTGATAAAGTAGACAGTCCCTCGGTACGTTTTTCATTGTTTTGTTTTGTTGCATTAAGTGAGGAATTAGCAGGAAGCACGGTGCGTTTTTTGGCGCTGTGGAGATGAAACAAAAAAGAACAACCGCTCAAAGTAACAAGATATTGTGTGATTACGTTTGCCAAATGTATGATTTTACTGTATACATGATAGACAGTTTAGTTACAATTCCTATTCCAAAGTTTTGAATGCCAGGCAAAGTTACGAGACGTCCCTGAAAGCATCACAAGGTTCCCTCTGCTCAGCGGGCACATAGAGACTAGAATTAGAAGTGGTCAGACCAGTTTGAAAAGCGTATAGAGCTCATATTCTGTAAATGTCGGCTGTATTCTTCTGATTTGTTAACACACTGAATGTCGTTGTCATAGGATGTGTTTGAAAAAGGAGAAATTGGACAGAGGTGCCTTGTTTATGGGATGGAGCTACAACAACTCCAGGCCTGTTTTTGATGAAGGAACAAAGTTGAAACATGCTTAAAAACGACTTCAAAATTGACTTCCACAACATGACATTAAACGTGTAACTTTGCTTAAACTTTTCTTTTTCCACTTCTGTAAAATTACAGTGTGTTGCTTTAGAGACTTTTCCAGGAATGCAGAAACTTTCTCACCTCCAGGTTTCTCACCTCCAGGCTGCGGCTGCTGGATTACGACTCCTCTTCCCCTTCCTTTCGGAGCTGCACGAGACAGTGGAGTGTGGAAGATTAATGAAATGCCTATTCATGTAAAGACTGAAGCAAAGGGTTTGTCTGATACTACCACCAGGGGCCATTTTAGACTGTTTAGCACCTGATATATGCAAATATTCAACACAATCATTATTTCCATCCCTCACAAAACTCATGCTGTAACCAACATTTGTAGATTAGTTTCCTGACATTGATACGTGTTTGTCTTTGTGAGGTTGTTCCCGCTGCTCTGCCTCACTCCCTGATCATTATACTAATTATTCTCCTGTACTCCTGTCTTACTGTATTAAAGAACAGATGAATATTGCACCAATAAACTTCCTGGAAACTTAAAGTCAGATCACACTCAGAATTACTATAGGCTCAAATGGTCCCTGTCAGCAAACAGAGTCTGTTTTATCAGGACACACACATTTTCATTTTGCCCATTTACTGTTCTCTATTCTATTTCCTATTACCCTAAATATGACTAAAATCTCACCAGGCGGTTTCCCTTGGTGTTTAGATAATACCATACAGCTAAGATTAGAGTACTAGAGTTATAATAAGTACATAGTTCCTCTGTTCCTAAGTAAATTGTCTTATTATCATATTAGCGGCCGAAATGAATGCATAATATTTTGTATATTCCGTATAATGTGTGTGATTTTTTTACAGTGATGTCTACACAAGTGAAAATACATTTATAAACTGTAAGGGGGAAAAAACTTTGCAGCATTTATGTTACAAGAAACTCACGCAGGACTGTGACATATATTGTGCTTGAGGTCCGTGTTCGGCCATTGACTCCCGCGACGCATCTGAAGCTTTTGTTCTTGGGGCTTTGGAACGACACCCTCAGACTGACATCACACAGGGAATTCTGCATTATTCCATACTCTTCTCCGTCTTTGATCGGATCTCCATTTTCATCCACCCATGTGGTCCCGAGCAGGCCGTTCGAAGACAAAAAGCAGTTGTTTCTGGACAGCGATCTCCAAAGAACGCATTGTAAAGAGTTGTTTTGTTTCGGATATGTGGTTATGAAGGAGGTGTAGCGTTCACAGTCCTGTCCCGAGACACATTGGTGTGTCGTACAAAAGTTTTTTTTGTTTATAAAAGGAAAAACTGATACAGTGCATTTTGATTCTTCTGTCTGAGTGTTGTAATTTAGTATTTGCCCATTTGTGACGATGGCCATGTCTGGACCCCAAGTCTGAAAGCAGACTGGACTCCAGCAACGATGTTGTATGACGTAGCCTTGCAAAACATCTGCAGCACCTGAAAGGCAGAGCAAGAGGACATTATATTTGTACAATGCACATGTTCCATCCATCCATCCATTTCCTTCCCCTTAATCCATTTCTGGCATCCCAAGGGAGTGCCCTCCCTTGCAAAGCATGGGGGTGGAAACATTCTGGTTTGGGACTGCTTCTCTGCAGAGGGGAAACGTCGACGTCGTTGATCAGTCGTTGATCAGTAATAAGGAAAGGATGAATCAGTGACAGCTTTGAAGATAAAGTGTGGCTGGGTATTACAAACATAATGCCCAGACAACCAATGAATGGGTTCATAAGAAGCATTTCAATATCCTGTCGTGGTCTAGCGAGTGCACAAATACAGTAACAACCCAACAGAAATTTGTGGTGGGAGTTTAAAGTCTGTGTAGCTCAGTGCCCACAGCTTGAGAAGATCTGCGATGACGAATAAATCACACAGAACAATGATGTATAATCAGGGCCGGCATTTTTAAAAGCCCTAAATGAAGTCGCTGGATTTTACTGTTGATGCCTTTTGGTCAGGACTAAAAATCATTATCTAATGTTCATCACAGTTTTATATGAGCAAATGATTATTCCCCAGTCACTGAGTTTTAACTTTTGTTGTTAACATTTGTTGTTTTGCAGTTACCTCCACAGTAAAACATGTAACATAAATGTCTTTAATATGTTTTCCATTCAGCAGCACTGTTTTTGTCAAGGTCCGTTGAAGCGCCAATTTTTTGACCTGCGTTAAAACCAACTTCTGACCTTCAAAACTCCTCTAAAGTTACAGACACTTAAGTTGACTTTTGAAAGTCAGAAGTTGATCCGATCAGTTTATCGTCCACGTGGAGCAAGGTATACAATTAAAAAACATTTTATAGGGACAATTTTATAGATGAAAGAACAACAGACTAAACTCGCCCAAACACAGCTCCACGGCTCGTTTATCATCATTATGTAAAGTATTGTCTCCCGTGGGACTTGTGTGTCGTTTTATAATGTTTCTCTCCTGACCCACATTTAAGCAACGACCCAGAAAACAGTTTTCAACAGTTGCTTTTATTGCTGTCTCAATCACTGCTGTATTTGGTCAGAGGATCAGACGGCTGCTAATGAAGAAATAAATAAACAGATGTGATAAAAATCTAAGGGAAAAACATAATGTGGTCCTCTGACAAATCAATGTTCTTGTAAAGTACTTACAGTTCCAGATCAGCAACAGGGCGATGAGAGGAGCCATGGTGTTCTCCAAACCGCACCAAACCTCAGTTCTACTCTACATCTCTGCTGTTGGTCAACTTCCTGCACATGTAACATCCTTTCCCTCTGTGGAAACTCTTGAACACAAATGTTCTGATGAGTAACAAGATGCAGATGAATTTTTCCACTACATCAGACTCAATTGGCAAATCTCCAGCCAAGAGCCAACCCAGTATCAGGCTTTTAACTTAAGGCAGTTTTTCAGTTTTCTCAAGTTTTTTTCTCTGAACTTACTTAATAGGGATATCTATCCATCTATAGTAATATTTTTTTGAATGCTATTCATGTATCTGTATTATTACAGGTAATCAGTAAATCAAACAGTTAAAGTCATCTACAGTTGTTGATAAACGACTAAACCAACAGCAGTGTCCAGTTTCACCAAAGTTGAGAGGCAAACTATTTCAAAGCCTTTTTTTTTCTGGCTTCAGAGATTTGAAACCCATGATAAAACAAAAGGCAATAAAGTTGAGTTCATTTTATTTCATTCATTTTCTTCAATGGAATGCAAGATTTGTTTCTGTAATAAAGCTAGTCTTATCTTATACATTCAGAAATATGATTGTATGGGCTGTTTCTTCATAGAGCCAAACCCTAGGATCAGATTTTCAAACATGATTTAATCCATTTTTAATCTCAAAGGTGTTAGGGTTAGTAATTGTGGCTAGAACCACTAAACTGCACCCATCACTGTTTAAGACCCAGGCATTACAACAGAGCAGCAGCGGGTGGCACTGATGTTCCATCGACAACTGGTCTGCATAAAAAGTCAAAAATTGCACAAATTTGGCTAAACATTTATCTTAATTTGAGCACATTTTGACTGCCTTATTTCAAGAACTGTTCCAAGAAAAACCTTTTTTGTATCTTGTGAGTCCCATTTACAAATCTTGTGTTAAGGCAGTCAAAATGTGTTCAAATTACAAGATACATTTTATCTTGTAAGATGTAAAGATACATTTTGATAAATTCTTTGACTTACTTTTCATCACATTTTGGAAAGGATCTGGATGTACTCAGAAAGCTTTGCTGCAGGATGTGTGAATAAAATATGAATCTATAATAAACACATGAAAAGAATATTTGAAATAAAAACCCAAGACTCAGGTAAGAGGATTTTTTTTAATTTTTGACCTGAAATCTACACAAGCAGGCCTCGTCTATATTACAAAAATATGTCACAGTTTCAATCCATCGTCCAGTGTAACGCAGAGTTGAAAATAGAGGCTATAGGTCCATTTACAGGAGAGTTCACATTCTGCAGTGAAGATTGCACCGTATCGGCTGGTTTGTTCAGCAGAGATCCCTTAAAAAGTACTGCAAGTTTACATATAGCAAGCTAAAAGTGCATAACTAATAAATATGAAGACCGTAAATCTCTGTGTGACCTACTGGGACATTGCTGTGCTAATGCTGAGGGTTCAAAATGCAGAGGTGGCAAGTATTTTCACATAAACAAAAAATGTGGAAAAATCCGTGTACCTAGTTTCTCACTCCAAATCTATCACTCGTTCTCACAAGCATGTATTTTGGGCCTTAAGATCAGCTTTTTAAAGACAGAAAAGTGAAGAATTTGTTCATAATGTTTAAGTAATAGTATTAGTATTTTTCTCCCACATACTTTGATTGTTCCCATTACTTTTTTCCTTTTACTAATATTGTGTTAGCTTTTTCAGATGATGAAATAACAAAAAAAACGTTCTGTTGCTTACTCTTCTTTAGAATCTGATCTTTTGTAATAAATTCACTGATATTTAATTCTTAACATATTCCCTTCTGTATATGATTAAGTCTAAGAAGAAAGAATGCTGGATGAGTAAAATAATCAGTATCTATGACCTAACTGAAATCCCATAAGGCACCTCAGTCCAAATGTTTTCGGTTCAAATTCCCATGACTTCCTTTGTGCCTTTAGGCCACGTACATTTTCAAACTCTACTATGGATGGGGTACGACAAACATCTGCTTTTAACGTACATAGAAAACCAAAGAGGATTCTGTCATTTATAGAAGAATTATCATGCACCCTTTTTGGCCATTAATATAGATCATGACCCTAAAATTTGTCATTTCTCATTTTAGAATGCAAAAAAATCTCAAGTAAAACAAATGTGCATGAACGGTAAAACATGCATTCTGCCTGCAACTCCCAATGTTACCACCAGAGGGAGGAATAGATGAAAATTCACCTCAGACATCGCCAAAGCTAATTTGTTGATGTCATGGTGGTACAGACAGGACTGAGACAGGAGCTTTAAGACAGAAGGGGCGGGGTTACAGGTTGGTGCCAGAAGTTCTTGATATTAGCGTGGATGGATCTAAAAACAATACGTCTTTTTCAATGAGGACCAATGTAACATGCTTAAAAGGAATAGTTCACCGTTTTTACATACTGACATATGTTCTTACCTTACCTTAGACTAGTTAATACGTACCTGTCTGGTCCTAGTCCGTGCGCTCTGTCATGCAAACGGAGCAAAAACGGGAGCACAACCGCAGCCTCCTCTGGTCACTGTATAGTACCCAAAAGGTAGCTCCCGCTAGAAGCTACCAAACTCTTCCAAGTGTTCCCTATTAAATGTATATAGTTACGTGACGTGTTACACTGCAAAGTATAGTAACACAGAAATGTAACAGTCGATTTTCTCAGCGGATAAAACGGGTACTATATTGTGAGGCGTAGTAATCTGAGGAGCGCTACGTCCGCGCACTAACTTCTCTCCGTACTACAAGTCACGCCGCTTCTATTGACGGAAGTGAGCGAGAGAGAAGTCTCCGGAGAGAAGTTAGTGCGCGGACGTAGCGCACCTCAGATTACTACGCCTCACAATATAGTACCCGTTTTATCCGCTGAGAAAATCGACTGTTACATTTCTGTGTTACTATACTTTGCAGTGTAACACGTCACGTAACTATATACATTTAATAGGGAACACTTGGAAGAGTTTGGTAGCTTCTAGCGGGAGCTACCTTTTGGGTACTATACAGTGACCAGAGGAGGCTGCGGTTGTGCTCCCGTTTTTGCTCCGTTTACATGACAGAGCGCACGGACTAGGACCAGACAGGTACGTATTAACTAGTCTAAGGTAAGGTAAGAACATATGTCAGTATGTAAAAACGGTGAACTATTCCTTTAAAAACTCAGAAAAGGTTGATAAGCATAATTGAAATTGTCATAAATATACATATAACATACACCACCGCCATGTGACAATCTTTGCAAGGGCTAAAAGAAATGAAGAATCCAGTGTAATGCAGCCGTGACGGGCGTGTGAGTCAGAGCAAACGGGAAGGGGTATTTTTTGAGGCGGGTCGCGCGGTACTTGTGGTTTCACTTTCTCTCCGGAGCGTATTTAAACAGGGCAGGATTCAAGCAAACACAAATATCAACTCAAAAGAACACATCGTAAGCATTATTAGTGGCTTATTTGACTTTAAAGGACACATATTATGCAGAATTGTCAGTTACTGCATTGTTTTCTCATCCAAAAAACAGACCTGGAGCTGTTTTAGCTTCATCAGAGTTAAAGATTGTGGTCTAAAATATTAAAATAATGCAATACAATCTATGTCACTAGCTCTACGGCTACAAAACAGTTTGGTTCGGTCACTAGTCTCTCCATGGCCTTGCACCAAAGTACATGTGCGCCATATGAACCCAGAGTCGTGACTAAACATGAGGAGGCTGCATTTCTGATTCACACAGCTAAAATCTGGATCTGTCTTCCTGAAAATGCGAGACAGGCTTTACAATATTCAAATCCAGATTAAAAAAATATGTTTAGTTGTGCATACAGCTGAGGGATTTTATCTTCACTCTGTTTAAATGTACTGTGATTATTTATTTATTTATGTCTCCACCTTGTTTTGTTCTACGCTTTGAGTTGCCTCATGTATGAATTGTGCTACGCAATTAAACTTGCCTTGCCTAGTTGTGACATGCATGCTTTTTCGGCCTGTCACATCACAGCTTTTTCAGACAGAATTGTGAAAAAAATGTAGGGGTCAGGAAACTAATCCAAACCGGGACCACTGCACTACCAAAGTGCGACAATACACTGTCTTCCCCACATAAAAAGTGACATTATACCCCTTTAAGTTATGTGGCTGTAGATCGAGGCACAACTCCAGGTCTGTCTTCCATGAGGTTTGCTTACCGTGTGTCTTTTCACAGAGATAGGAGTTTACATTGGAGCTCCACAGCGCCCAAAGCACCATATTTCTACACACGCACAACAATTAGACACACATTAGACTTGTATCGGAAATTAGCCTCCCGACATAACATAGAAGAACCAGTGCTTTGTTTTAAAATTGGGGTGTTCCGATACCAACGCTCAGTCTGGATTTGGCTAGTGCCTAGTTTCATTTCACATCGCTGGGACCAAGTTTGTGTTGTATGACAGGATTTGATCACGCTTAAAGGGGATGTACAATTACACAAAAAGAGGGGAATTTTGAACAATAATGTGTCATGTATGACTGCGGACGAGAAGAACATTCTATTAAAAAAGAAGCCTGTAGTGAATAATTCTAGTCGTCCACAAACAGTGGTGTCAGAACAATCCTGACTCACTTTGGAAAGTTTTAGCTGCTACATTCCACTTTTTCAATATTTTCGCATCCTTAAAATCAAAACAAATTCACTTCATAAGGCAGATAATGTCTTCAGAGATGTACATAAGAAAATTCACGGTCATATTTACACACGCAATCAAAACAGAAAGGATATCTAAACGGTTTAGAAATGAATACTTTACAGCGCATTCCCATGGTTCCAGGTTCAGTCGTGTTTGATGAAGGATGTAACCAAACGTAAGGTTAAAAAAGGAGCTCAGGCCAAGAGAGGAGCTTATGGTTTTAGAAGTAAATATCACATTCATTTTTGAAATACTTTTGAAATAATTTCTCATATATTCAGATACAAATATTTGAGTAGAATTGCTCTCGTATTCCAATCACAGTATAGTTTGTATCAGACTCTATTCATTCAGTCTACTTTACTTTTTACTCCCACCCCAGAATGCCCCTCCCTGTGACCGCAGGACTAAGCAGGAGTTAGAAAATGATCGAGGGAATGCGTGAGTAAAGTGTGGCGCGGCAGAGCGCTGTGCGTTACAGGCTGCTGGGCTGGATCTGTGTGGGCGGAGCCTGCTGTTCTGTGGGTGGTGCCTGGGTGGGGGGGGCGAGCTCACAGTCTTTGGGACAGTCGTCTCCCGCACGAGCGTACATCAGCACCAGTGTTACCGTGGCAAAGGTGGCGGCATTGACGGGGAAGGCTCTGAGCAACGTGGACGTGAGTCCACGCGTGAACACCATGTACCCCTCTCTGTCGACGCTCTGCCGCACACAGTCTGCGATGCTGCTGTAGCGGTTGACTCCACCCACTCCGTCCGCCTGCAGCCGCGACTTGATCACGTCCACCGGGTACGTGGACAGCCAGGACGCAATTCCCGCCATGCCGCCAGCAAAAAGCAGCTTGGGGATCATGTAGGGGTCCTCGGGCTCGCAGCCCAGACCCCGTGTCAGCATGTCATACGCCAAGAAGTACACGCCGAAGCCTGGCGTCTCACGGATCAGCGTGGTCACCATGCCGCGGTTCACGCCGCGCACACCCTCGCGCTTGTAGATGCGTGTCAGACAGTCCAGAGAGTTCTTGTACAGTTTGTTGGTGGAGGACGTCCTCATGCCCGTACCCTGCATCTGCATGCGCGTCTTGGCCAGCTCCATGGGGCAGCAGATCACACACTGGATGGCCCCCGCAGCCGCGCCTGCCAGGAATTGGTTTGTGGGCGTGTCTTTTCCCAGCTGTCGCATAGCGTTTCCCTGGACACCGAACACGATGGCATTGATGAAGGTGAGGCCCATCATGGGAGATCCAATGCCTTTGTACAGCCCAAAGACCTGCGCACAGAGCAGCTTTTGAGGTATGTGTCTAAGTACATGCACCATTTTATAATCCCTAGATTCATGTCTTATATTCAGTGATAAAATCATACACACTTTATTTGGTGTCTGATAGAATAATAACAGCATAATTTAGTAAATTACACATATTTGTCCTGAAGGTTAGAGATGGAAAATGTGAGGCCTTTCGTTAGTACTGCGTTCAGAGGCTCATGAATAAAAGATTGTGGTGCCTCAACTTCTGAACTCAGACACAAGGAGAATTACTTCTGCTGTTACCAATAAATAGTATATCAACTTCCTCTTGAACATGCTCTCTTTTTCAGTGTCAACAGGAGACATGGAATTAGCTTCCACAATTATGCTGATAATACCTACATCTCCATGCCTCTTGATGACATCAGACCAATGGAAAGCTTTCACCAGCTTAACCAGGACAAAACTGAGGTTTTAGTAATCAGTCCTGAGGCTAGAGAGACACTTTTCTCCACTCCAAACACATTATTTTAATCCTACAAAGGGAAATACCTGGGTGTATTTTTTTGACACGGAGTTGACTTTTTTTCTCATGTTAAGAATGTCACAAAAACAGGTTTTAATCATTGAAAGGGTCCTTATTTCCTTGTTCGCTTTAAGATGACAGTAGCTACACATGTGTGTGTCCACGCCTCGCCTTCTGCTCCTGGAGATGGTTCTGTGGCGGCATCATCATACAACGCAGCACAGCCTTGAAGTCCAGTATAGAGGCAGAGCCAGCTAAAGCTGCTAAAGCGAAGGCGACAGAACTTTTCACTTTCCCCTTGATCCAGTGAAGTCAGAGGGAAGTCCTTTTACGGCCGTATGTAAACACAGGAGTAGTCACATTAAGCCCTGACCTTAATCCACAGGTACTTATACAGCAGCGGCAGGAGACCACAGCTCCAGACTGGGTCTCTGGTGTGGAGAGAGACCCACATACATCTCACAGGCTTTAAAAAGTGCTTAAAACCAATGTTCACACTGAGCTGGGAGCACTGCGAGTGAGAGTGGTTTTTGGGTGAACCTGAGCAGCTTTGGTGAATCCTACAATGCAGTGAGCCACAAAACCACAGCCCTTTACAGAAGAGCACATCTAGAAACTATACTGTGTGATCTGGGTTTTCTCCAGCCTCACATACATGTAGTAAAGTCTGTAAATCAGTCATTTAGATTCGAACGCAACAGGATCATCTCTGGAGCAGGAGGAGGGGGTGAGAACCCGCAGCAACTCTCAAATTAAAGAAACAAGCACATGTTGGTCTGTGCAGAAGGCATTATAAAACACTGACATCCCATGATGAGAGCCTGGGACACACCTTACATTAACAAGAAAAAGTCAAAGAAACACATGCAGCCTCAGGCAGCTCTATATGAAGAACACAAACAACTGCAGATTTGGATCTTAGCCGAAGTCACACTACGGTGTGAACATGTTCAAATGCAAAATGATGACCAATCTTCAGCCCCATTCTGTCACTATTAGCACATATGTTACTGTATTGTTTACAATAGGCTTTTTATTTGTACGTACAGACTCCTGGCGGATGATGGACTGGAAACAGTGGAACGTCCCACGGTACAGGGGTCTGTCCACACTCTGCACCTGCAGCCGCACCTGCAACAGACACATCACCACCACCACACTGTTATCACAGGCACATGAGGAAGACTACTGCTGCAAACCACATCAGAGCTGACCTATGGTGCTACGGAACCGTCTCAAGAATCATTGGGGCTACTCTTCCAGACCACACGCTTCATGAGGACACCCCTCCCTCCCCTCCCTCCCCTCCCTCATTGACATTAACCTAATCCACCAACAATCTGAACTGGACTTTCCAGCATTCTTTCGGTCCCTATCTCAGTGTGTCTGTTACTGTTGCACAGTTGCCAAGATGGGTTAAATGTTTGCACTGGGTTACTTATTTATGAGGATCCCTCTGTGACAATGACAATGCATTACATCTGGATCTTGAAGCTATCTTATAACCACATAAGAGCTGACCTGTGGTGCATGTACCCACATTAATGCAGACCTAGTGTGTGTTGTGTGGGAGTACCTGGCTGTTTTTTGCCCTTTACTGCCTCTACTACTCATCTTTCATTTTAACAGAGGAAATGGGAGTCACCATGTGCGTTAATATTTACAGTCTATGGACAAAACCTCTGGATGTTCAAGTCCCACTGACGACCTGTGGAACGAGTGAGGACTCTAGTAAACATTTCAGTCCATTATTACTGCTCTAGAACTCTTAAATAGATTCATTATATTAATAAAGACATGAAAGTTTGTTACATTCTCCAGAAGACACTTTTAAACATTTACCTTCACTGTGTCGAAGGGATGCCCAACTAAGACCCCGGCAGCTCCTGCAACCAGAAGATCAGACTCTGTTCATTTGCTATTTCAGTTTATTTGCCACATTGATGAGACAGATGGACAGCATTTGTGTCTCTTTTCAGTTTCGTTTTGACAGAGTTTCCTCTTGTCGTCGCCGGTGGTTTTTAATAGCATGAGACGTTAAGATTTACGAGCAGAGAAGGGACAGTACTGTGTGAGGCCTGTGATTGGAGCAGGGAGAGAAGTGTGCTAACCGGACACTAAAGCAACAAAACATGTCCCAAGTGGAAACATCACGGCTCAGGTTGCGTTTATAAAGCGGTCACTCTGCAGCGTGTCGTCCTTCTCAAATATAATGGAGGCCCTCCCAACTTTCTTCAATCAATGTGCAACAAAAGAGAGACACCGATCATAGGGCAGAAGGTGGACCTTGTGTCCTTTCTCCTGAACTCATTGTTTTGAAGGAAGAGCTGGGCCAGGAACAGAGCATATCTTTCTTCATTTTGTTTAATAAAATGTATTATCATTTTACACAACGTTGTAACGTTATTTCATAAGTTAAAGCGAAAGTACCTACATTTGTATATTGTTTCATAAACATCTACAAAAGGTTTTGGTTAATTTTCCAACAGAGACAGTGTCTTGTTAACATTTTGAGAACCACAACATGTGGTCTGTGTCTTACTAGAATTATCCTCTTTTTCACTGAAAAAAATTCTAAACAGAAGCCAAAAATACATTAAATACACTGAAAACTAGTCATGTTTACCAAATTATTCTGGTTATTTGAGAAATAACAGGGACAATTTTACAAGTGCTTGAAGATGGTATGATGAAGATGGTAGTATTTATTTTATTTTATTTTTTTTATTTATAATGAGAATTAAATGCATCTTCATATTTGGACTAATTTTGAGTTTGTATTCCCCAACAGTAACTCCAGATGAGGTAAATTATATGATTTGAACATTTTCTTTCAAAATGTCTCTTTGCAGCATGAGCCCTCGTTCACTCCCTTCTACGGTTTATGAAAAAAACGGAAATGGATGAAATGTAACCTTTTCACCAGAGGTTATGTCAATTATCATTTGGAAAAACTGTTAGTAATTTGCAAAATGAAGAACGAAAAGTGGAAAAATACTGGGGAATGGAGATGTGTGGGAGTGTATTTGTAATTGGGTCACACTCAGACACCACCGCATCACTTGTCATGTTGGGGAGAGTTGAACAAGCAGCCAGGGTTTTTTTTGACCTGTGTTTAATTGTTGACCCAGACAAATTGTCGGAAAGGATCATGTCCAACTAAAAAGGGTTTTTAAAAAAACGTCAAAATAAGTCAATCAATCACACCAATATAAAAACACATTCAAATGGCAATTTAAAAAAAATAAATAAAATGATGATCCGTCACAGCCACAGCTATAAAGAACCGTTTTCAGCCTGGACTTGAACATAACTACACTCTTCACTTGTCTCACACCTTAAGGAAGACTGTTCCAGATTTTAGGTGCTTTAGTCTTTTATAGGACCAGAGTGAATCACATTGTAATGGACTACATCATCTTTAAGTCAGTTCAACATTTCAGCTCTCAGTCCAAAGAGTCAAATTAAAACAAAAACGTAAAGATGAAGACTAGAAGATAGTCTGTTGTGGTCTGATTTGTTCACATTCTACTTTGGGCACAAGCAACATGCATTAATTATGGGAAGGAATAGTTATGTTGTCCAGCTTTAATTTAGTGAGTTTTAGGCAAGCCCCGGCGATCCAAGATGGCGCCCTATTCAAATGAATGGTTGTGCTCAGTGGCGCTTTGTGACGGCATGGGGGCTGAAAGATTAGCAGAAGTCGCCTGGAACTTGCAAAGATCTATGGGAAACACGCCTGTATTAGTACATCGTCTGGTCCTCCCGGTTCTGCGCAGTGGATGATCTCCCATAATGCGTTGCGCCAAACACGCGTGTGTGGGTCTCACACCAGGTCTCACGCACGTGCACAGAGGGGCTTGGCCGCGCTCTGACCAATCAGAGCAGTTCATCAGAGCGGGAGTTAGAGCGAGAGACAGACGAGCAGAGTTTGTGGCACTAAAGTGTGGATTTAAAGAAAACCAAAGGATTTAAGAAGAAAAAAAGTTCAGGATGACAAGGGACCCTAAAATCTCCACAAAATCCGACCTTTATGAAAGCTGTAGGTTCTCGGTCAGCTGAGGTCGCGCTGTTTTAATATGCATTAAGTTCTATGGGGAAAATTTCTGGGTAGCCCACGTGAATTTAGTCTGGTCTAGTCTGCAGTACTGCGAGAATCCCCCGAGCACATGAGTTCTTCAGCTCCAAGCTAGTAATACCCTATCCAGTTATTATAATAGATCCATGGTTTTAGGCCTTGTTTAGGAGGAGACGCTGCAAAGCAATAAACAAATTCAAAAGTGCAAAGGAAGGGACGCTGAAACAGGGGCGATGTTCTCCCTTCTGTTAAAACCAGTGAGAAGTCTGGCTGCATTCTGAACCCGTTGGAGGTGGAAGAGGGATTTAGAGTCGAGACCAGAAAGGAGGGAGTTGCAGTAGTCGAGGCAGAAGATGCAGGCGTTAACAAATTTATGGAGAACAGGAGGAATGAGAATCTTTTTAATCTTTGAGATGGTGCGGAGGTGGTAGAAACAGGATTGGGGATTGTTTTATGTTGGAGCGGAAGATGATCAATACACGTCAATAAAGATGTTTATTTCTGAACATGGACAACACAAATCCTCCAAGCAAAATAATGATGTGTGCGCATGTGTGTTAGACTTTCTGGCTTGGGAGCTGATTGGTTGAGGGTAATCCTATCTTTTTCACTTCTCTGTCTGAAAAAAACTGGCATTAAGATGGATTTTATTTTATACATTGATAGTTACATTGGTGTGTGTCATGAAATATAGTGAACAGATTCAGATCAGATTCAGATTCAGTTTATTTGCCATTTGCAGTAAAAAAAAAAACAGGTTATATCTTTCAAAAAATCCCTAATTAGAGATTAAAAAAGGTCTATTTATGGATGAAAAAGCCTATTCATAGACTAACAAAATAAATGTGACGATTAAATATATTTTGATCCATAAATGAGATCTTAGAGGATGAGGCAAACGTACAAGACAATATAAATTATTTTTATGACCATCTTTGTATGGTACTGGACAAGGAGCTTAATAGATACAGAACAAATAGGAAAACACCTGGGAAAAGCAATGGCAAGCACAGAATTAAACAGCCATTTTGGAACAGTGAATTACAGAATTTGTGGGAAAAATTTAATTTTGCTGAGAAAAAGTTTTTGAAATGCAAAGACCACATTCTAAAAAAAGAGCTGTATGATGATTTTAGAGAAAATCAATCTAACTTTGATAAGAAACTCAGATTCTACAAGAGGCGTTATACTGTAAGAGAGGCAAAGCCCTACAGTTGGACCATTTGAAACAAAGTAATGCTCAACATTTCTGGAGAGAAATAAACAAACTTGGGCCGAAAAGAAAACAGACAATTCCTTTTGAAATAGTGACAATAAGTGGGGAATCTGTTTTTCAGACAGATCAGGTACTGAACAGGTGGGAATTGGATTATCGCCGTCTATTTGCTTTTAACACCTCCCACCAGTTTGATGATGTATTCCTAACTGATGTCTGTAGTGCCAAGCTTTTGCTCGAGAACAAATCTGTGAATGCACCCTTGTCCTGTTTAAATGACCTCTTGAATAGAGTGATTACACTGGAGGAGGTGCGGATAGCTATTGAGAAAACTAAACCACACAAGGCAGTGGGTGTGGATGATCTGTCCAACGAGGTGCTCAAAAGCCCAAAGTTGTTAAGTGTTTTGCATTGTCTATTTAAATATTGTTTTCAGAATGGGGTTATACCATCAGTCTGGTATAAATCTATCATCAAGCCTATTCCAAAATCATCTCAAGCTGACCCCAGAGTCCCTTTGAACTATAGAGGCATAAGTTTATTAAGTACAGTTTATAAGGTGTTTTCTGCCATCCTGAATAACCGGCTCCGTGAATTTATAGAAGTGAATGAGCAGAATGGATTCAGGAAGAAACGAGCATGTATTGACCACATTTATGCTCTATCCTCGGTAGTGAGAGCTAGACTTCAAGAAGGCAAGGGTACCTTTGTGTGTTTTGTTGATTTTTAAAAAGCCTTTGACTGGATAAATCGAGATCTGTTGGAATTTAAGTTACTTAAGTGTGGTATTAATGGGGATTTCTATGAATCTATTAAAGCCCTGTACAAGGTCCCAGTAGCTTGTGTACAAGTGAACGATCTGAGGACTGGTTGGTTTCCCACTCCCTTTGGTGTGAAACAAGGAGACGTTCTCTCTCCAACATTATTTGCTATTTATGTTAATGATTTGGCGCAGGAGGTAAAGAGAGCAAATTTAGGAATTGCTATTGATGACTTTGACCTCAGCATTTTATTATATGCTGATATTGTTGGCTCCCCCCTTGGACTGCCACCTTAACGTGGTGGGGGAGTTTGAGCACTCGGATGATCCTGGGAGCTATGCTGTCTGGGGCTTCATGCCCCTGGTAGGGTCTCCCATGGCAGACAGGTCTCAAGTGACGAGTCAGACGAAGCGCAGTCCGAAGCCAACCATGGACAGCACGACAACAAAAACCGTGACGTCGCCCGGCATGGCGCAGCCGGGGCCCCACCCTGGAGCCAGGCCTGGGGTCGGGGCTCGCAAGCGAGCGCCTGGTGGCCGGGCCTTAGCCCACGGGGCCCGGCCGGGCTCAGCCCGAAGGGATGACGTGGGCAGTCCCTCCTGTGGGCTCACCACCTGCAGAGGGGTCTGTGGTGGCGAGGTGCAGAGAGGACTGGGCAGCAGTCGAAGGCGGAGACCTCGACGACCCAGTCCACACACCCAACATCTGGCTCTTGGGACGTGGAACGTCACCTCACTGGGGGGGAAGGAGCCCGAGCTTGTGGGGGAGGTTGAGCGATACCGACTAGAGATAGTCGGCCTCACCTCCACACACAGCTTGGGCTCTGGAACC